TCAGTCCACCTCATAGAGGGCCTTCCCCTCCTGCGCTGTCCCTCCACCCTCCCAAGCATGATGTCCTTCTCCAAGGACCAGTCTCTCCTCACAACATGTCCAAAGTATGTTAGACGGAGCCTCAGAATCCTTGCCTCCAAGGAGCCACCAGTTTAACACATTAGTGCCGTCCTAACTGTGATGAAACTACTTTCTAAGCTGATCAAATTTCTCTAGAATGCTTCCTGTGTGCTCTCCTCATCTATTACTATTTTGGCCACTTTCTTTCCAAGTACACTTTCACTTCTGAGGAGGTGCAGGTAATAATCAACTTGGACCCTGACAATTTTGCAGTGGTCAACCCTTATCAAGCTAATGGGAATGCTTACAAATCAAGCATACTGGTTTTTTGAGCTCTACATCAACCATTGTTCTAATCACTTTAAATGTACTAATCCTTAAAACAAGCCTATACGAGGTGGGTTAAGCAGCTTAGGAAGAACACTAGGGGCAAGGGTGTTCACTTAGCCATTACTCAGCACTAATTTTTATCTAAAATGTCCACATGCAGCCAGGAGAATATCTAGACACAAGATAAAATGAAAAATTTCTAGAATTAATATTTTTAGCATATATAATAAATTTATTTCCAATCTACAGAACTGTTTCCCTTTTATTGTGTACTCCAAATTGATTAAAATTTTAACTGCTAGTTAAAGAGTTTAAAAAGGGTAAATTAATATAAGCAATGCATTTTTAAAAGAAAGCCATAGCCTACACCAGATATAGGGCTCAACTGGGTCTGAATCCAGTGTTGTCAAGTCTGTTCCACTCTCCCAGTGACCCTCCATCGGGTTTCCAAGGCTGTAAATCTTTATGGGAGGAAGACTGCCCATCTCTTACGGAATGGCTGGTGAACCTCAACTATCAACAGACAAACTTGGTTCAAACTCAAAACTTGTTTTTATTAAATTGGAACCAACCTAACACAGACTTTCAGTGCTTTACACTGGAGGAGAATGCCCATCTTTCTCCTACAGAGAAGCTGGTGGATTTGAATTGCCTGTTTTGGGGTTGGCAACATTACCTCCATACCCAGGCCACCTAAGCTCCCATATGCTAGCTAATGTTTTTGTTAGCATCACATATGTCACAAGCTATATCATCAAGGCTAAAAGGTCATCAGAATCCTAGCACATTAAAGAACTTGTCTTCAATTATTACGCTACAGAAAGTCTCCAGAAAGATTAAAAAGTAAAAAATAGAAGGAAAGTCCAAAGCTGCAAGGTGTTAAAAAAAAAAAAATCCTTTCATTTAAAGAGTTGAGAAGATCTTACCACACAACAGGGTTGTAAAGACTGACACAATACATAGAGACCTGAAGAACCAACGATAACAAAGTTACAGTGGATTTAGTGAGGAGTAAATTATGTGATGCAAAAAAAAGCATTATTGTGTGTTTTCACAGCAGCTTGCTTCTATGTTGTTGTTAGATGCAGTCAAGTACGACTAATAGCGACTCTATGAACAGCCAACCTGAACCCTACCCTATCCTGTGCCATCCTCACCATCTCTGAAACACTCAAGTCCACTGCTGAAGTCACTGTATCAATCCAGCTCATGGGGGTCTTTTCCCCTCCTTCTCCGACTCATCTTTACAAACAAGATGTCCCTCTCCAAGGAATAGCCTCACTTGGCTACATGTCCAAAGTATTAAAGACAAAGCTGCTTCATCTTTGTCTCCAAGGAGTACTCTGGCTGTACCCTCTCCAAGACATATCTGTCTGTTCTTCTGGCAGTCCATGGGATATTCAGTACTCTTCTGCAGCACCACAAATCGAAGTTGTCAATTCTTCATCTGTCAATATTACTCACTGTCCAGCTCTTTGATGCATAGCAGGTAACTGAGAAGAACATAGACATAATCAGGCACACCTTAATCTTCCAACTGACACTGCTGCTCGTCAGCATTCTGGAGAGATCCTTGACAGAGGATTTGCCCAATGCAATGCTTCTCCCGATTTCCTGACTAAGAGAGTTGATTGTTGATTCAAGGAAGATGAAATCGTTGACAGCTTCCATTTTTCTCCATCTGTCATAATGTTGACTATTGACCAGTGGTAAGGACCTTTGTTTTCTTGATATTGAGAGGTAATCCATACTCAAGTCCTTGATCATCTGCAACAAGTGCTTTAAGCACACTCACAGAATTGTATTGTGCAGAAATGTTAAGATGGAATCAAAATAGGATTGCTGTTATGTTAACAAAATTTAATTTTAAAACTATAACTAGGCTTCTAACTAACTACTTTAGGAAAGGAGATTTAAAAACACTGAGTCCACGTTTCCCTTTAGGTTAACTTCTGTAAGGCTTTCACCATTTCTCACTTGGTTTATGACATAAGCTTTCTATCTTGTTTTCAACTCTCCAATCTAACTTCCACCTTGTCACTAATCACCTAAGTAACAGAGCCTTCAATAGTCTGGCTCCCCTTTATTGACTGGATAAAGTGTAAACTCAGCAGTACACATCTACTCCAATTCCTTTCCCAACTACTCTCTCAAACATATATGTACAAATATTCTTTCTAGATTCTCCATCCTGTTATCCTGCCAACCCTGGTACAGCTAGACCTCTACAAATATAGCCACTATTTCTTTAAAATGTCAAGCGGTTTCAAGCTTCTCTTGTCAGGTACAGTCAGACTGACAACAATTCATAGCAACCCTAAGAGCTGAACCTTGAACAACTGAACCTTGCCTTATTCTCAGCATCCATGTCATGCTTAAGCACACTGTGGTAGTCACTGTGTCAATGCATCTCATTAACGGTCTTCTTCTCTTTCAATGACCTTTCTCAGCATGAGATCTCTCTCTAGTAACTGGTTCCACCTAAAAATATGCTCAAAATAAGCAAGATGGAGTTTCACCATCCTGGCCTCTAAGGAGCACTCTTAGTCCTGGCAAATCTTACCCCATCTGGTTGGAATGCCTTTCCTTCCCCCTTTCCCATTCTTCTGCCTTATTAATTCATCCTTTAGGACTGTCTTACATCCTCTGGGAAGCTTTTCTGACATCCTCATGTTTGGATGGGTCAGATATCCTTTAGACAATGTACTGTATTCTCCCGCATCGCATTACAAAACTGCTTTACCACTTGCTGGCTGAGTGACCTTGAACAAGTTCATTAATTTCACTGAGTCTATTTCTTCATACTACAGGATGTCAGTATTAATTTTATATCACTATTAAATAATGAATGTGAAAATAGCTTTGTAAACAAGAAAACACTATGCAACCATCAACTATTTTATGATAAACCAAAAGATCATACTTCAATTTGTCCCAAGGGTAAGATTCATCTTTTTTTGGTGTTTGGTCCCCTGTCCGAAGATGACCTGCATACTATTCAACTTTCTGGCTCCACTAAAATCTTCAGGAGGGGGGAAATCTACATCGGCCATTTCTACATTTGAAGAAAAGACTGAGAAGTTTCTGAAAGGTAAGGATTTTACCTTGTCCGCCTTTCAGGAGAACAGTGCTAGGCACAAACAAATACTCAACAAATATGAACAAACTGAAACCTTGCCCTTCCTGTTAGCTGTTGAGTTGGCTGCCTCTTCTTGCCCTCAGTTTGTAATCCGGAGGAGTGATGTGACAGATCCCACAAGATTGTGACACTGTAAAAATGGTCTTTTTTGTGTCATCTTAAATTGCATCAAGAAATTAAATTTCCAGTTATGCTTATTTTGTTTTAGTGATTTGACATATATTGTCTTTGCTATCTTAATGACTCATAATTAACATGTATTTTTGACATCAGCATCACTGATAATAAATAAGTATCCACTGCACTAAGCCCTATGAGAATACAAAAATAAAGGTGAAGGGCTACTAAATATGTAGAAAGGAAACTAAGCCCAAAATACTGGTAACTAACACAAAGCAGAATGTTATAAGATACATTGAGAATGCATGGCTAATGACAACCAACGAAGATATTTGACTTAGAGGGCTGGATCCATTAGAAAAACATATACATTATTGGTGATGAATAGTTTCTTGCTATATCTTCCATATACTACATGTGTAAACTTTCCTACACGTACTAATAAAAATGCCCAGATACCTTATTCTAATTTAATTATAAACCTAATTGTGTTGTTGTGTAATGAATAGTGCCAAACATGGATGAGTACTGTTTCAAGACTTTTAAGAATATTCTCTCATTCAATCTCTGTAACAACTGTAGGAGGCAGGTGCCATTATCCTCAGTTTACAGAAAAGGAAACCGAGGCACAGGTCTTGTAATTTTCCAAGATGCAGGAGCAAAAAAAAAAAAACAAAAAACACTTAAGAGACAACAATGAGGATTCCCTAGAGAGAATGCGCAGACCCACTTGCCAGAACTTGGCGGTTTCACGCCACTGCTTTCTACCTCTCCCGAATATACTGGTGGGAAAAAGCTATTCTCGCCTCCCTCCCTAGTCCCTTTCCTCCAGGGATTAATTTTCCTCCCTTCAGTCCATAACTGAACTGTTGATTCTCGTGCAGTTTCTCTCAAACCTCCCCACCCCAGGGAGCACACTGCTATTTAAATCATAGGCAGTTCTGGGTAAAATGAGACCGAATCAGATCCCTAGGTAGACAAAGATCTGGCTGAGAACACAAAAAGAAACCTTCCAGGCTGGGGACCCCTTCCTGGATCACGTCCAGGGTGCAAAGCCCCCAGATCACCCGGGGGGTTCTATCTACCCCCGCGGTCTTCTCTCCTTCTGATCCAGGCAGCTTAGGTTTGCGTTTTGCTCGTATACCCTTCACCTGCCGGTGGTACTCCTCCTAGCACGATCTCCATTCCGCCCAAATCCAACGCCAGCCAGGCCTTACGCGCCTCCCTCTGCGCTGCAGAGAATTGTCAAGCCCGACACGGTGCACCCCGGCCCTACGAGGTACACAGCCCACCCCGTCCCAACCCCAGCCCGCTTCTGGCGAGGGGCGAGCCCTCCCCCGCAGCTACTCACGGTTCCAATACACGGGGTAGCACTCTCCTTGGGTCACATCCACCTCGTAGAGTCCGCCCCGCACGCACACCGGCTCGATGTTCACCACCTCCATCTCAGGCTCGTGCCTCGCCGCTCGCGGACAGAAGCCGCAGGCGCGCTCCTCATCTTCTTCCTCCCCGGAGCTGGAGGCTGGGCCTCCGGGAGAAGCCGGGCCGCACACATGGTCGCCGTCCGGGTCCTCTCCAGGGGGCCGAGCGCCCGAGGCCGGCAGCACGGTCCGGAAGGCGAGCTCAATGCGGAGCGAGTCGTAGCCGATGAAGGGCTTCCAAGTCTTCTTGTCCTCCTTGTAGAACCAGCGCACCTCCTCCGGGCCCAGCTCCGTCACCACCTCGTAGCGGTGCCGGGCGGCGGGGCCGCCGGGCCGGGCGCGCTTCCTCTCCCCGGGTCCCCCTCCCGCTGCCCCGGCGCCCCCGGAGTTCGATGGGATCAGCGGTGGCTGCTGCAGTGACGAGGAGCTGCCGCCGCCGCCGCCGCTCTCGCCCTCGCTGTAGTAGCGCAGCGAAGAGCCCGACTCGGCCGAGCTGAAGTCATAGTTCTCGTCACTGAGGCAGGGGTCCAGCGCCAGGTGGTGGTTGTGGTCCTCGGCGCCGGATGCCAAGTGCAGCCCGGGATCGGCGCGCAGCAGGGACAGGGGGACGTCGCCGTCGCCGGGGTCCCCGCCCGGCAGGTGCTCGAAGCAGCAAACGCTGCCGCCGAACGCCGGCTCCGCATCCGAGCCCAACTCCCAGGCGGCGCCGCCGCCACCCCGGCCGTTATGTTCCGGGCTTCGCGATGACCCACAGCCCGGGTAATTCATGGTGCGGAGACGCCGCCGGCTGTCCGGCACCGCGCCGAGCCGTCACCCCAAGCGCTTCCACCACACATTAAACGCCCGACACCCTCTGCACTCGGAATTTTTAAGCTTTCAAATCCCGACCCGGGCTGCGGCGGCGGCCCCGGCGGCTCCGCCCCCTCGAGGCCCTCGGCCGCCGCTGGCGCGCTCCATGGCCCGCCTTCTTGTCACGCAGCCTGACGTAGGCGGCTCTCGGGCTGCCGGCTCCGCCCGCCGGCCGAGCGCACTGGCCCGGAAGCTCCGCCTCTGCTGGGGCCGGACGCGGAGCTGTCTTTCTCTCCACCCGGGGCTAGTGCTCGGTGGACTGGGTTGCTGGGTCGGCTCAGGTCACGGGGCCACTTTTCACCTTCTCCAACACCCTTCCGTATCCTCCAACTCACTTCCTCCTCTCTGTTTCCCTTCAGCCACCCCCTCGCCTCCGCCTCCTCCTCACTCTTTTCCCTAAACAGCTGCCTCTGCACCCACCGTTTTGAAATTCAGAACTCAGATGTAAGAGAGTTTACCCGACACACACTTGCAATCTGGGTCACGATGCTTAAGCAACTTGTCTAGAGGGCCCCAGAAGCTCTATTTTCCCAGGATTGAATTTGAGGCCTCATCAGAATTGTTGACCATGAGAGCTCTTTCCTAACCTCAAAGGCACCATTCTCACTCAGAATCCAGAGGCTAACTTCCATTCGTTTGCCTCCTCATATTACTGTCTTTCAATACTGTTTACAATTTTCTCAGGCTTCATTGATGGAGACTATGTATCTCAGCATTAGCCACGCAGGAGGAGCATAAATTTGGCTATAATGACAAATCTATCAGGTGTGGCGGGAAGTTAATCAGAAATACAGTGGGGGGGGGGAGTAAATTAAAACCTCAACTTTAAAGGAGCCATGGTGGCTCAGTGTATAAAGTGGCTTCCTGCTTTATCCATTGGCTTTCAGATTTAATCTACGCTGTGGTCTCAGCGTCTATGGCAAGGAAGTAGAATCTCCTCTGATTAAAAGTATAGCTTCATAAACCCAGGGAGGATTTCTATGAGTCAAAACTGAGTAGACACAAGTAAGTTTGTGTTTCTATCGGGAACAATGTGGTGTTGATAGTCTGTCGTTAATACTGTTGTTGTGTTTCATAGAACTGGAACTGACCCATAGTTGTTGACTCTCCAGAGGGTTTTTAGAGACAGTTAATCACATGGGAGAAGACGGCCAATTTTTCTCCCTCTGTTAATATTACAGGCTTGGAAACCCTATGAAGTGGTTCCGCATTGTTTTTATAGTTATTATGAGTTGGGATCTACTTCCAATGGCAAACAACTTAGTCAGTTTTGCTAACTATAGACACATCACTATAACTATAGTAAGTCACTTAATCATCTCTTTTTAAAAAAATTTCCTCATCTAAAGAGCAGTTTCTGTAGAAGATCGAAGACTACTTACTGTCTTCAACATGAGTTACATCTCAACATCAAGAAAACAAAAATCACTGAACCAATAGGCAACATCATGATAGGTGGAGAAAACATTCAACTTGTAAACAATTTCATTCTACTTACATCTACAACATGCATGATGACAACAGTAAAGAAATCAAAAGATATGTAGCATTGGGAAAACCTCCCATCAAGGACCTCTTTAAATTCTAAAGAGCAAGGATGTCAGTTTAAAGATTAAGGTGTACTAGATCAAAGTCATGATAATTCTCATGTCTTTGTGTGTGTATCTGAAAGTTGGACAATGAATAAGCAAGACCAAAGAAGAATCCTTACCATTACTGAATGTACCATGGACTGCCAAGAAAACCAACAGATTCACCCTAGAGAGGGTTAAACTAGGCTACTCCTTGGAGGCAAGGATTCTGGGGCTTCGTCTGACGTACTTTGGACATGTTGTAAGGAGAGACAGGTCCTTGGAGAAGGACATCATGCTTAGGAGGGTGGAGGGACAGCGCAGGAGGCGAAGACCCTCTATGAGGTGGATTGATTCAGTGACTGGGGTAATCGGGATGGGTGTGTCAGAGGCAATGCGATTGACACAGGATAGAGCAGGGTTTAGGGCTGTTGTACATAGGGTCGCTAAGAGTCGCAAATGACTCGACGGCACATAACAACAACAACCACCACCAAAAGTTTTGGATATACAATAGTTTACCAGTAAACACAAATCTGTCTTGGAAGAAGCAAGCACAAGGAGGGTCTGATCCTTGAAGGCAAGGATGGTGAAAACTTCGTTTCTCATATTTTGGACATATTGTTAGGAGCGGCAAGTCCTTGGGGAAAAAAATCATGCTGAGAAAGATAGAGGGCCTGTCAAAGGGAGAAAGACCCTTTACAAGATGGCTTGACACAGTGACTGTAACAATGACCTTGAACACCATAGATACTGTGAACTGCATAGGTGAGGGTGAAGTTCAAATCTATTGTTTATTGGGTCACTATGAATTGTAGTTGACTCAGAAGCACCTAACAACAACAACATCTGAAAGATAGGTGATCATCGGACCAGAGATCTCTAAGGCCACTTTTAGCAAAGGCATTTACTTACTGTCCTTTTTCAACTTAGTATTTTCCTTGGTTCTTTACACATCTGTGATTCTGAACCTTACTTTCTGGAGTCTGATTGACTGCTGAGGTGCCCTTGTCTATTGTTTGTTTGTTTTTAATTTGAAAAACATTTATTTCCCACTCTATGTTGAGAATCCAGAGAAAACAAACTCCAGCCTCAGATTTTTCAACTCAAGATTAGACAACAGTCATTTCTTTCACTCTCTTTCTGATAGAATCAGATTGGTAGGGCTATTTCTTTTTTTCTGGGCATGTTACTTATTACCAGTTATTATTTTTAGGTCATTAGTTAAAGCTGAATGATCTGTAGCTTGTACAAGTCTTTGTACATGTTCAAAATTAGGTAGTTTCTTGTGAAATGATAGTGACTTATGTTGGTGCACCTGATCCAGGCTATAGTCTTCATAATTATTTGCTATGCATCAGAAAGCTGAACAATGACTAGCGATGATGGAGAATTGATAACTTTGAGCTGCGGTCTTGGAGAAGAGTATTGAATATACCATGGACCGCTAGGAGAATAAGTTGGCAAGCTCTGGTGGCCTAGTGGCAAGAAGCTGCAACTACAGTCTCAGAGGTGCATGGTTCAAATCCACCAGGTGCTCTGCAGGAGAAGGAGGAACAATCTCCTGTACCAGTCAGATCTGATTTGACGGTACACACAAAACATAATGAAATAAAATAAATTTTTTTAAAAAAAGAGAACAAACAAGTTCATCCTAGAGAAAGTGAAATCAGGCTGCTCTTCAGAAGCAAGGATTCTGAAGCTTCATCTCACATGCTTTGGGCATGCTGTAAGGAGGAACCAGTCCTCGAAGAGGGACATCATGCTTGGGAGGCTGGAGGAACAGCACAAGAGAGGAAGACCCTTGATGAGATGGATTGATTCAGTGACTGGGGTAATGGGAGTAGGAGTGTCAGCGATGATGAAGTTGACCCAGAATAGAGCAGGGTTCAGAGCTGTTGTACATGGGATTGCTATGAGTCGCAAGCAACTCAACGGCACATAACAACAAACAACATGCTGAAGTTCATGGATTGATGAGCAGAGTATGTATGGTGTGGCTCCCCCCACCCCCAGCTCTCTTCTTTGGCTGAATAATCATGTTCAGTAAACAACCTGCCCTACTATACATTGCAATCCTTTTTTCTAAATAGGAAATACTGCTTTCTGAGTACCTGTTTATAAGTTTCTCCTCTAATATCTTTTTTTTGAGGCATTTTATTAATTTTAATGAACGTTTACAGAGATTTTGGATTTCCATTCATTCATTGTTGCATTTTTCTCCCTGCCCACCCCTCCCCTCCCAGTTTGCTCTTTTCTTTGAAAAGTAAAATTCTTTCATTGGTATACAATCCCTCCCTGCTCCCCGAGTACACCCCACTATGCAACCTTCATTCTGGACTCCTGTGATAACCATAATACCCAATCATATATCGCTTTTAAACAGTTCTCTCCCTCATCTGTTTCAATGCAGTATCCATAATCTATCCAATATTTCACAGTCTCATCCCAACCCTGATGTCAGTCCCATTCTACAACAATGACACTGTGTATTATTTGTCCTTTTGTGACTGAGATATTTTACTCAGCATAATGTCCTCCAGGGTCACCGGTTTTGAATAATATTGCATAAGTTCCTTGTTTTTCAGTGCAGTATAGTATACCAGAGCTTTTCTATCCATTCATTTGTTGATGGGCACTTAGATTGTTTCCAACTCTTTGCTATTGTGAATAAAGCCGCAAGAAACATGGGTGTGCATATATCTGCCTGGGTGGCAGTTATGGTTTCTTTAGGGTCCTGTAATACCTTTATTGACAACATTGTGCCATTGCATGCCACCTTTCCATTTCCCCCCCCTTTCTCTAGTGTTAATTTTATCCCATTTTCATCTATGTAAAAAAAAACAACTACTGAGAGTAGTTTCATGCCACATAGTTTGTTCTGAGCAAATAATCCATGTTCCCCTAGAAATGACTTCCTCCAAAATATACAATAGAATACATATATCTTGAATAAAGAAAGACCAGTATTATATAACCATAATCTCATTTTCTGTATCTTCTATTTAATAAGCCGTCCAGTACATTCAACATTTTACTTCACTTTTCAAATTTTAAAAAAATTCTTACCCACTTTCTTAAAACAAGAGCATTTTCTTTGGTGCATAGATCAATGGATTGGTGACTTAACATCAAGGAACACATTAGATGTCTACTACATGTAGACCCTACAATGAAGCAGTATATACAGTCTTCAGATTTCTTAAACAGGAGTAGAATAATAAGTTTTGATTGTTATAAGAAATGTAACTATACTGATAAAATAGTTCCATTACCATTACAAGGTCATGCTCTTTGTACTGAAAATAGATACATATATGGAGCTCTGATGACATAATACTGTAGGCAGTTGTGTTGCTAACTCAAAGACTGAGCCCCTCTGGTGGTTCAAGTCCACCACAGTGCGATGGGAGAAAGATGGGCAATCTCTTCTCATGAGATTTACAGCCTTGGGAAAGCAATAGAGGGGCAGTAAGTAACTTAGTTTTGACAAGACAGCAATGAAAGAGTCAATGAGATACAC